TGGAGAATAGGTTCATTTTTGCGTGGAAACCAGGTGGAAGAAGAAGATACTCATTATCTCAGAGGCCAGGAAGTGAGTCTGGGGCGGGGAACTCAGAGGAAGCCAGCAGACGCCAGGGTGCCCCAGCTCATCTGACACCACAAAGGAAAGCAAGGATGCAGCGATAATTTTAGAAAGGTACAGCATTATGAAAGCGAACAATGAATAATTGCCGTAATCCAATTTTCCCCATTCTTCTCTCTCTCTCTCTCTCTCTCTTTTCTTTTAAACTGGCATTGTCTACTGCTGACGGAGTAAATTTTTCTTTTTTTTAGAAAAAAGACTGCAATTCTAACATGTCTTGGGTTTGTAAAAGACCAGAGCATCCAAAGAGTGAGAATATAAAGTTGCTTAAATTATTTTCTTAAACAGCTTTTTATCTTAAATTATGAAGGACCTAGCCTGATCACTCCAGTGATGTTCTCTGTCTGGAGGTTTCTCTCATTTGCATAGAAACCATACTTTCTTCTACCTTTTTTAAAAAATAAATTTATTTATTTGATTTATTTCTTTTTGGCTGCATTGGGTCTTCGTTGCTGCGCGCGGGCTTTCTCTAGTTGCGGTGAGAGGGGTCTGCTCTTCGTTGCGGTGCGCGGGCTTCTCATTGCGGTGGCTTCTCTTGTTGTGGAGCACGGGCTCTAGTCGCGTGGGCTTCAGTAGTTGTGGCATGTGGGCTCAGTAGTTGTGGCTCCTGGGCTCTATAGCTCCGGCTCAGTAGTTGGGGCTCACGGGCTTAGTTGCTCCACAGCATGCGGGATCTTCCCGGACCAGGGCTCGAACCCGTGTCCCCTGCGTTGGCAGGCGGATTCTTAACCACCTCTTCTACCTTTTAAGATTCATCTTTCCCTTCCTCCCTGCCCCCTCAAGAAAGCTGTTAGTTTTGCAATTTATATGATGTGTTGGATAATTGTCAGAAAAATCCATTATAGTTAAACTATTGCTCTGTAACCTTTGTTTCATCATCAAAATCCTTGTCTTCTTTGCCTTCTTTTCTTTTGGAATAAAACCAACAACAATAAAACTGTGGCTCAGATTATGATCTTATTTGCAAGGTACAGTTGAAAAAATATTGAAAAGGGGGAGACATACAGTAAATGATGCCCCTTTATCTTGGGCAGTGACAGAGAGGTTTTGTCTCTTCATTGAGAAATTTAGCAGTTGTGCCTCAGACAGGGATAATGCAAGTTATCAGTGTTGTGTGACTTTCTCTTTTGTGTGTTTTATTAATAATTCTTTTCCAGAATGGGATGGGTCTAGGGTCCTGGGCCTCATGGTTTGGGCACTGACTGACCTTCTTGGCATCTTTCTGTGTTTCTTAGCCACCAATTATGATAAAACTCAAAAGGTCCAGTAGGTTCTAAAGGAGTCATGGGAAGTAAACTAGATATAGAGTTTTAATAATGCAATATAAGATGGATTGACAATTAACTTGATTTTATAAAGACATAATGCTGTCAAGATACTATAATATACCTGAGCGATGAATAGTGAAGATTTGTAAACAAACAGCAAAGAAATACAACTTATCTTAATTTTCCTCAGCATTTGGAGTCTTTCCAAAATAGTACATACAAATCCATTTTCCACAATGTAAAAAGGAAATTGAAAGTCTGAAAAACATCATTGTAAAAAATAATAAAATATGGAAAGAATGGGCCAAATAAACTATGAAAATGTGGTAAACAAATTAGAAGTTTCACCACCTTGGAGAAGTGGGGTGTGTGTGTCTGTGTGTTAGTCTGGTATGAATTCAAATGCTTGAGGTAGTTTCTCTTCCACCTGTTGGCTCAGTCCTAACATTGGTGTTGAGGCCCATCCTGCTCTGTGTAAGGCGGAATTTTAAAAACCTTGAAATCACTGACTTCTAATTCTAGTGACTGGGCTCTTTCTCACACATTTTTGTTTGTACACTCAAATGGCAGCTTTTATGCCTATAACCACAGGTAATATGATATGTAAAATGTATAACAACTCATATGCTAATGTGAATTAATATATTAAATAATATGCAAGCCAAAACTAAACATACACACTTCCTTGTCTGATCATGGTGAAGTAGCCTGTATTGGATAGACTTCCTACAGGAAACAATTACAAAATTGTACAGGATAGATAAAATTATGATTGCTGTCTAAAAGCACCAAGAGTCATCGAGGCAGCCAGGACTCAAAATGCCGTGGTCCCTGAGAGAAGGTAAACATGAAGTGAGCTCCGTTCATCCTGTTTCTTTTTTCCCCCCTTGAGGGTACTTGTTAATTTACAGGGCAGTGGAAGAATGCCAGCAGGAATTTGCAACCCTACTAGGTTGAGGAGAGAGAGGTTGGATTCAGGACTGTCAAAGAAGCTGGGTCTTGATGGGCCAAGTCCAGGAAAAGAAGGAACCCCAGGAAACTTAGCTGCAAAATCTGTGTACGATCTCTTCTAAGGTGTTAGCCAGCTCCTGAACCGTTCAGTTTAAAGCTACAAGAAATCCTACAGAAAGAAGCAATTGGGACTATAAAGTACTGAGCAGATACTTTAGCAGCTGCAAGGTGCTGGAAGACAGTGGTGCAGTTCAAAGTCTGTCACGGAACAACCTTGGTAAACGCCTCAGGCTCTCAGCTGAAATCACCAGAAGGGCCACAGAAATAGACCAGCCCTAACAAACCTAAAACTAGTTAGCCTGCTTGCTCTTTATCTACCTTCCAGAACAAAGCTTAACCATTTCAGAAGGAATAAAACACTTTTCACAGCGTTTACAAAATTTAATACACGTCTAGCATCCAATCAAAAATTACAAAGCATGCTACCAAGCAGAAATGAAGAAGCAAAAAACACCAACAGTATTTACACAGCTTAGGACTCTTAGTAAGCCTGCCTGAAAAGGATGTACCTGAGCTGATGCTTCTGGGAGGACTGAGAGATGGAGGGAAGGGCAGGGATCTAGGGACCGGCACAAAGACCAAGAGGCACAAAATGACACAGTATGCCCAGGGAATCTTTACCACTTTCATGAGTGTTACCAGTGGGCAAAGCAGGTGAGTGAGTCAGAATGGGACAGGTTCTGGGCCACTGAGGGTATGTGCTTTAGGCCAGGATCTCAAGCTGTTTTAAGCCATGTAACCATTTATCTTCAAGGAAATCGTAGATCCGAGTCACAAAATAGAAAAAGAGGACTTTTTAAGTTAAAGGAGGAAAGACTTCGTGGAAGCTGGGGCATCAGCAGCCCCCAGGAGCCACCCCCAAACCCTGATTCTTCCCTATCCCAAGAGGCTCCTCCACAGAATCTGTTCAGGTTCAAACAGTTTAAAGAATTACTCTGTGAGTGACAGGTAGACCAAAGACACTTAACAACCAAAAGATTTAGCCAGACTTCTGCTTTGGACAATAACCCTGGGGACTGAGTGGAGATGAATCTGAAAAGGTCATAGTGCCGAAAGAGAAGACAGATGAGGGGCAATTGCAATTGTTCAGGTGAGAAAGTATGGCAGTGGTGGGAGGGATGGAGCAGGGGTGGGGTTAGAGAAACTCTTAGATGGTAAATTGGGACAACCTGGTGATGGATTGGATGTGGGTAGTGACAGACAACATTATCTTTTTAAAGAAGAGTCCCTCCAGAATGAGTGACCATGGGATTAGGACCCGGGGGGGTAACACTCTAAAGAGAGAGACCGAGTAAAACATACTGCATTTGGAAGTGATTTCGGCAGACTGGGTGGCAGGGGTGTCTCTACGTGGGGAATGGGGGGAGGCAGGCGATGAAATGAGAAGAAGGAGAGGTCGTTTGGGCTGGTGTTCAGGACACAGACAGAGGTAACCAGAGAAGTTAAGAAGAAATTGTTCATTGGCAACGTCCCAAAACCTTTAGAGACCAGAATTATTCATGAAAAATATGTAATTGAGAATAACCGTGTCTCATCTAAAATAAATAAGCTTTTGTAAAGGTTAATAGATGGTTCAGGGTCCAAGGCTTTCCAGACCATGGTTGATCAACTGCAGAAATAAATTGTTTCATAAGCAAATAATGACCTTAATTTTCAAGGAAGACAAGATTCGATATCGCCAGGAAGATGTACTGTTGGCACTTAAATTTAATACTTTGTTTTGCAACAGACCAAGAAAATGGAATTGGTCCAACAGAATTTTCATTAGGTACATTTCCACAGCCTTGCCTGAGCTTAAAAATTTCCTTTTAATTATGAAAGGAATAGGGAAAAAAAGCGTTCGTCAGACTCTGCACATTATCCTTGAAATTTGTTTTGTTTTTGGCAAATGATTTAGAGAGTGTTCTTTTTGTTGTGGGCAGATTTGTCTGTCTGAAAACATTGAGCCCTCTAATCTTGTAGGAACACTGTGGAAACATTGAAAATGAGAATTTGTCACTTACACGGAATTACACACTATATTTAAACACTTACGACCCAATAATGAGCATCACAACAAACGCACCTCTGGCTCCTATGAAATGAGATCACAGTCAGTGTTTAGTGGACAGCGTAGTTCTTTGGGTCCTTTGCTTCTAACTTTGCTTCTACCCTTGAGGTGGGAGATTATGCTGCATTGCCCATGGGGTGAGGTGGAGAGGCTTGGAAGTCCAGGGGGCTGGGTGGGAACCCGGTGCCGCCACTTAGCGCTTCAGCCTTCGCTCCTCACTTAGAAATGGGCAGAGACCTCCAGAGCAGAGGGCTGGTGTCAAGAGTGGACGTGAACATAGGGGCAAGGTGTTCCCATAGGGCATGGCCTATGGTGGGTGTTCACGGTTTAATTCCCTTTCCCCTTCTCCCTTTTATCCTAGAATGCGTCTCAAGGTCGTAACTGGTTCTAAGCAAACTTGTGAAAGAGGAGAGGTTAGTATCTTTCTGAGCATCTCTCCTCTCCTTTGATGCTCCCATTTCCCCTGGGGGTCAGGGAGCAATGGTACCATCACTGTTGGAGGACTTTACAGTTTACTGAACTTGACACCTACCTCATAAAGACATACCTCATAAACGTCCATTTCTTCTGATCTCATTGGCTTCTTGCTACAGCTCTGCAAAGTAGAGATCCTCTGTTACAAACTAGAAAACTGAGGTGCCGATAGGATAAATGACAGCCTCAAAGTCACACAGCCGTACCTGACGGAACATTCACGTTCTCACTCTGAATATACCTTGCAGCTCTCCACGCACCTGGACGTGTGCTCCTTCCACTGTGCCTTCTGCCCTGGCTGTGTCTCCTGGAGCTTCCTCTGTGAATCCACACCCCACTGGCCCATTCCTCAAATGCTAAACCTCCACCTTCAGCAAGCTCCCACAGAGAAAAATATGTTCTAATCTATCTCATTGTGACACTTCAGAAACTGATACCCTTCCATGGGAGTCAGAATAATGCCCCACCCTGTACAAAGATGCCCATACCGTAACCCCTAGAACCTCTGAATATGGTACTTATGTGGCAAAAGGGTCTTTGCAACTAGCGTTAAGTTGAGGACCTTGAGATGGGGGGATTACCCTGCATTATCCAGGTGGGCGCAAGGGAATCCCATGACTCAAAATTGGGGAGGCTCTCCTGGCTGTGGGCAGAGAGAGGTGTGACTATGGACAAAAGATCAGAGAGATGCAACATCTCTGGCTTTGCAGACAGAGGAAAGGGCACAAGCAAGGACTGTGGACAGCCTCTAGAGCCCGCAAAGATAAATGTGTAGTGTGCTAGGGCTGCCGTGACAAAAGACCACAAATTGAAGTCTTAAACAACAGAAATGTATTATCTCCGTGTTCTGGAGGTCAGGAGTCTGAGACAAAGAAGCAGGCAGGGCCGTGTCCCTGCAACCACACTAGGGAAGGCTCTGTCCCAGGCCTCTCTACTGCTTCTGACAGTCACCTGGCTTGGGGAAGCATAACTCCAACCTTCACGTGGCTTCACCCCGTGTGTGTGTCTGTATCCAGATTTCCTTTTTATAAGGACACAGTCATATTGGATGAGGGCCCATCCAATGACCTCATCTGAACTTGATCCTCAACTACTAACATTCTGTTCCCAAATAAGGTCACATTCTGAGGAACTGGTAGTTAGCACTTCAACATACCATTTTCTTTTTTTTGGCGGGGGGCGGGGCAGGAGGTACACAGTCAACCCATAACCCACAGGACAGGAATTCTCCCCTAGAGCCTCCCTAAACACAGCCCTGCTGATCCCTTGATTTTAGCCCAATGAGCCTCACTGTGGACTTCCGACCTGCAAAGCTGTAAGATAATAAATGTGAGTTGTTTTCAGCCACTCGGTTTGTGCTAATTTGTTATTGGCAGTAATACAAAACTCATATATCTCCTAAAAGCAATTTCCAATTAAAAAAAAAAACCCAGAATGCTAAATGATGGGGTAGTGATGACAAACATCTCCAGCCCCCCAAAATCTCGGAAATATCTACTAAGGATGAGCTACCACCGTCAGCCCACTCACAGCGTTCCAGAGGCCACTTCTCCCTTGTCCATACTTCAGAAGGGAATAACTCAGCAGACAGAAGCCAGAGCTTTCTTCTTTCCTTGATGTAACCGTATATCGAGGACACAGGTTATGGGTGAGCTGAGGCTACCCAGGCTTCCTCCTCCTCGTCCGCGATATTATCACATTAACTTCCTCTGCTCCAGCAGAGCAGCTAGCCGGCGTGAAGCTAATGGAAAAAAAATGCGTGTGAAATGAAATTAGGGAGCAACCTGATCCATGCTGTCTTGAAACCAAAGGGCAAATTTTAAAGCAGGAAGCAAAACAACCACAAAGCAGGGCAAAATACCCATCTACGTTTCAAAGTCTGTTGAAATTACAAACTCAGAGCATAGGAAACTGACCAGGAGGTCGGGCCTCGGGTCTGTGCAGAAACCAGCCTGCTTGGTTTTCTGGGACTGAGTGAAGACTCTTCCATCGGATCCCCTTCAGGTGATGAATCTCCCTGAGGTGGTTCCTGTGCACGTGGGTTCACGTTCAAGCTCTCAATGGTCTCTTTCTCTGCAACGTCCAAATTCTTCTTTTCCGAATATTTTAATGCAACCTTAGCAAAGCTTTCTTTAATCTTTTAAAGGCTGAGGCTCACCACTGGAAGCAAAGAGTCACTGTGAAAATGTCAGCTTGCCTCCTGCCTACCCTGCTGGGATGCACGCACCACATTGGGATGGCACGGCCCACCCCGGCCAGCTGCTTGAGTCGGGAATGTTCTGACCACGGGACAGGGAAATATGGTATATTCCACACTTGTGTATCCAGTTGCTCACCTGATTGCCTAGTAGACTGGTGGCCACATCTTGCTTCCTTCTTCCTGTCCTCTAGCTATAACTTCCCCAAGAACCTGACGCTGTGGTCATGCTTGGCCTCTCAGTTAATGGTCGTTCAGCTTGCTCAGGTCTAAAAGTTTGGAATAATCTTTGACTCTTCAACTTTCTTCATATCTCATACCTAATTTATCCACAAATTCTGCCCCTTCCACCTCCAAAGCCATCCAGAACCTAAGAACATCTCAGCACCTCCACTGCCACCGCTGCTCCAAGCCATGCTTCTCATCAGATTACCCAGAAGCCTCCTCACCTGTCTTTCCACTTTGCCTTCAAGGTCCGCAGTCTGTTGTTAATACCCAAGTTTAAATTAACCTATGAAAACGCAAAGCAACTCTTGATTGCTCAAAACTTTCCAGCAGCCTCCCGTTCACTTATAAAAGAGCCAAAGTCCCTGCCTTGATCTAAAGGCCTTCAGGACCTGGCCCCTCACTGCCTCTGTCCCACCCGCCCCTCATTCCTTCCAGCCACTCTGGGACCCTGCTGTTCCTGACTGTTCTAGGCATGCTCTGTCTCAGAGCCTTTGCACCTGCTCCTCCCTCTGCCAGGAAGGCTTTTCCCAGACAATCTCCTGGCTCCCTCTCTCTCTCTCCCTCCCTCATGCAATTTTGGTCTCCTGCTGAAACGTTGCCTCCTTACTGGGGCCTGCCTGACCACCTTCCCCATCCACTTTATCTGCCCAATATACTACATGCTTTCTCATTTATTTTGCTTACTGCCTGTCTTTTCCTCACTGGAATGTAAGGACCATGAGGACAGAGACGTCTTGCTTTGCTCCCTGCTGTATCTGAAACCCTAGGATAAGGCCAGCTCCCAGTCACCTATGTGACACCGCAGGAGTGAGTGAACAGCTTTCAGAGACAGTGAGGGCATGTCCAGGCACCAGCCATCTCACTGTGCGACTGGAATTCCTCTCCCCCACGGGTGCCAAGACGCAGGGCAGAGGCCACTATCCTTAAGGGAGAGTAGTGGCTGCAGGGGACAGCATGCCTCTGATTTAATAGGGAGGGATTTTTTCCTAGGTGGGCACTTTCCCATCTCCGAAATCAGAGTCGCTTTCAGAAGCTTGAGCACCAGAGCTCTAGACTCCAGAACATTCCTCACCTCTCCTAGCTTGAGGCACCCCATCTCAGATAACACAGAGGGCAGGAGCGAGAATTATGTAAGGAAAACGGACTCGCGTGCTATTAGGACCAGCCTTTGAGCAAAGAATTATTTTTAAAGGAAATGTTTTATGGTGGTTTTTCCTAGTGACTAATGGTCCAGGGGTTTGCCCAAGAGCGGCAGCGTCCAGCTGCAGGAATGGGCAGGAGTGTGGCGACACGCTGATATTCACTCTTCGTTCACAAGTCTATGGTGAGCCCGGCGTTGTGCTGGGCACCGCAGGGACCCACGAGGAGGAACAAGGTCCGGTTCCAGCTCTCGGGAACTTCCAGGCGAGTTACATACTCAGCCATAATTCCTAAGAGGATGCAGAGGGGGCATTCATGGTAGGACCACGTGCGCTGGGCTGGGGGTAGAAGAAGACTTAGAGGAAGGATGCCCAGCTAGTCCTGAAGCACCGGCAAGGACAGCCGCGTGCAGGGGAGCGAGGGCTCGGGCGGCTGCCAGGCTGAGGGCGGTGCTGGATGAGGCCCCGGGGAATGAGGGCTGGCGGGACTTTCCTGATGGAGGCTACATTCTTATTTTCAGTGGTATCTGATAACAAAGGTAAGCATCTTAAAACCGTATGGGGAAGGGTAGGACATTTGCCTTCATGACTTGGAACCCAGTGGTTAGAGCAGGAAGCAGGTGATTAGAGACCATTGAATTAGATATCCCTAGAAATCCAATGCCCAGAGAGGTTGAATGACTCTAGGGTCACACAGCGAGGTGGCGGCAATGCATAGCTTGTTTACAAGGTTTCTGTTTTCTATTTTATAATGACAACATTTATGTGAAAAATTTCCCAGAAGTACTCAATTTATGGATGGGATGAGTAATTAGTAATACTTTCTGCAGTGTAATTTCTGGATGAAAGTGAAATGAATCAGACTTTAAAGAGGGCGTTTACAGAAGTGACTAAAGGAAGAAACCTTGTCATCGGTCAGACCATGCAGGGCAGCCAGGCTCTCCCTGGCCTCATACTTCCCCTTCCCAGCTGCTTGCCATCCTGTCCTGTAAAGCGGTTCCTCTGGGCATCAGGGTTGGTAGAGACACTGCACATTTCATGTGCACGTGCCTGACATGAGCGAGCCCCGATCGTTTGGCAATAATAGTGACCTTGGCAATGATAGTGCCGGATACTAAAAGGGGCGAGAGCTCACAGACATGGCCTTAGAGATGACGACTCAGGATTTACAGCCAGCCTCTCTCTGCCTTAAAGAGCAGGAGAGTTGCTCAGAGAGCAGTGGGAGTGCCAGGAGAGGCTTCTTACAAGCTTGGTTCTCAAAGAGCCTCGCGTAGGGGAAGGAGGGGGCTTGCAGTCGGTGTCAGAGGCAGGAGAAACAGATGGGGACTGTCTGCCAGTGGAAACAATGACTCTCCTTTAATTATCTTCCTTTCATATCTGTGTTTATATATTAACAACCACATACAGTATTACTTTCTTTAGGTGATGGATTTCCCTGCCAGTGTGTTCCTGTGACCCATGGTTCCAGCTCTGATAGTGACTCATATATGCAGGCTGTGCTCAGGTCCTGAATGTAGAAAAATATTTGATTTAATAGCAAGGCTCAGTCTCAGGGGGAAAAGAAAACCTGACCTTTTTCTGTGAAGAGTTTTCTTTCTCAGATGCAATAAACGATACAAGAGCTCTATTAACTTGGGGCTTTTGAAAAGACATTAAGAAGCTTCAAATACTGCTTCAGTTAAGTTGAAAAATGGCATGAAACTGCATTTCAATTGTTAATAGACCAATAGCAATGAAGCAGGAGTGAAAAATAAACGCTTGCATTTTGAGGAGAAACTGGCCAAAAAAATGACTTTGCAGATGCGATTAAATTAAGGATCTTGAGATGGAGAGATTATCCTGGATTATCCAGACAGGCCCTAAATGGGATACATCTTTATAAGAATAAGATGTGGTATATATATATATATA